CTCTAGGCCAAAATTAAATATTGTACAAAATCCCTTGAAATCATGTTTTAAGATTTTTTCCATTAATACTGTGAAGTTAATAATTTGAGTGACATAGCAATGTTTGTTACTCTTTTTTAGTCTGTAAAATTAATATGTAATACTTCTACTTGAAATCATTCCAACACATCATTCAATTTACCTTTACACTCAACTTACCTACACTATTTTTACTAATTAATCAATCAAATGTTAAGTCATTAAGCCAATTCTCATGTAGACTCTAAGTAAGCACACAAGATCTTTAGATGGCCAGTGTATGTGCATTTCAAGACAGAAGGATAAAGTGTTGGCTTAGGATTCAATCTGGTTTGAAATTACAAATAGTGATTATCAACCAAGCTACTCTTGAGAATTCTGAGATTGCTTTGCTATGTAGATGTCATTATAGACTCCTAAACTCCTTAGCATGTTGGCATATGTGACAGAGCCTTCCTCTGCCTGATATATTTAATTCATCTTTTTTCCTAATTGAGATCAATCTTTTAAGAGTAGCTAATAAGAAAGTCTTAAATAAGTATACTATGAACTTTGAAAAACCATTAAAGATTTTTTTTTTAAGTTAAATGTGATTGTTGCAGGAAGGATCAAAAACAAGCCACACTGGAAGAGAGAGATCAATCAGTCCCATTTTCGATTTAAAAATAAAGTATAGATAATAAAGACAAAATTAAGATACCAGTCAGTATTCAATAAACATGTGCAATTCTAGAGGTACATGAAACAGAAAATGCCTCCTGTGTTTCCTTTGTTCTTAGCAAATGCCCTAATAGAACATTCATCATATGCAGGTAGTTCTTTCAGCAAACACTAGGGGGAAGTGTAGCATAATTACTCGTGAGGGGGGTAGCAGCATAGGTATGTTGCTGAGGATACATTTTTGACCTCATGAAGTCCTTTCTTAAGCATTGTGTTTGTAGTCCTCCTTCAACTGCATAGATTTATGTTGACTTAAGCCTAAGCAATACACTATAATAACTTTCCATGATGCTCTTTAGAGTATTGTTTGTGTATCATGGTAAATTTATTTCTATATCATTAAAACTAATTTTAGAATGGTCATTTTGAAAGGGTAATTCACAATGTACCTGAGGACCCAGCTAAGAGTTGAAGCTCTTGTTTAACTTTGGAAAGCTCTGGTATTTATCCTTAGAACAGAGAGGGATAAGGAAATGCAGAAGTAAAAATTAAAGATTGATAGATGAATGTCTGAATGTGATCATTACCCTTTAAGGCAATTCTGATTTTAAAGATTTGAATCCAAAGTACATATTTTCAACCAACATCACTGTTAACCCCAGAGAATAAAACTTGGGTTATACAGGGCTCTGGGTTAAAAGACTACTTGTGAAAGCAGCCTAGGTTTTGGAAAGGCTGAGCCCCGTTTAGTAAAAAGGTATATATTAAAAATTATCTATTTAGAAAGGACAAGACAGGAGCATTTTAGAATTTGAAGGTCTCACTAAAAAAAAAAAAAAAAAAAAAAAAAAAAAAGCGTCTCTTTGAATTTTTGAACTGCTGGTCTCCCAAGGGAGTAGTAAATTGGGAAAAAGACCAGACTTCAAAATCAGAGTATAGGTTATCTCCTTGAAGCTCTGGGAAATTAATAGCTCCTCTACCTGAATCTTTAAGCAATTATCTCCAAAACAATCTCCAGAACTTTCTTGCAATTGGTCTGATTTGATTTTCTTTGAAATCCTGAATGATTCATGCTACAGATTTGTACGTTAGTCATTCACAATTTATAAATGGCAACTTAACTTCAGTATTTATGAATTACAATCAATACTCTAACAATCAAAACACTCACCTTCTCGATTTCAACGCATCAGTTTCCTTTTTTCAGACTGCTAGATCACAAACAACCGGTCTTGACTTGTGGACATTTGTGATAGTTTAGGCAAAACAACTTGAGACTGTCAAGTTCTTGAAGACTAGGAATTTAGAGCTAGGGTAGTGTGTGTGTGTGTGAGTGTGTGTGTGTATGTGTGTGTATGTGTGTGTGTGTGTGTGTGTTGTGTGTGTGTACTTATAGAACAGGAATCTTTGAATCATTGATCTCGTACGGATGTAAGTTCTTGCTTAACAGTTCAGCTTTTAAACATAGAGATTTTGTAAATATTATCAATGACTTTATTTTGGAAAAAATATAATATTGCTATTTGGAAGTTTAGTAAAATGAACAGAGGCGAAGCAGACAACAAAGCTATTCGTTGTCGAATTGGAATAGACTGAATGTGCTCTATGATAGGACATGGCAGAAGGGTAGAGCCTTAAATACTATTCAGCAGATTTCAGTTTCATGAAGCTACAAAACGTCTTAAGAGAGGCTTTTTTTCCTCCGAGGAGACACTGCCTGTTTCCCCACCAGAGTCTGCTTTTCTGCTGAAACACTTTCATAATCAAGTGACTTTCCTTGCATGGGTGCCTGGGGACAGCGGGGATTTCTCTGAGGATGAGGAAAGTTACATACTGATTGCTGTTGCTTGCGGCTTGTTTGCTCCCTAGCTAGCTTGCATAGTTGGCTGGCTCTCCAACACTGGACTTCACAGGCACTCACTGAAATATACAGCACACTGTGCGAAAACGGGTATACACACACACACACACACACACACACACACACACACACACACTCCGCACATTCTTCAGACGAGTGCACCAGGAGTCAGAAAATCTGCAACTCCCTTAGCCTGCGTGTGTGTGCATGTGCGTGTGTGTAAGCTGACGACGTGTGTGAACAGAAATGCACCAGGAAGACTGCAGCTCCCTCATTCTCCAAAGTACGAGGTGTTTCTCAAGCCTGGCGGTGCATCTGATCCCCAAATAAAATCGAGCCACCGTCAAACTTTTTTTTCCCCCACTTTTCTAGAGAAAGACAGCCGAGCTGCTTCGCCCTGTAGCTAAGGACCCGGACGACCGACCGAAGGCTCAGTCCTGGGCACCGCGGCGGTGACTTAGCGCGGGCTCTGCTGGCTGCATAGCTCTCGGGTCGGACTCAGCTAGTCAATGACTCTAAAGCGCTGGGGCTTCTGGCCCCGCCCCCTCCCCGTTTCTCCACCTCCCATTGGGCGTGGGCCGAGAAGGCAGGGCCTGGCTCGCCGCACGGATTGGCTGGCAGAGAATCAGTATCAATGTTTAAGCGGCGGCGTGAGGTGAATAGAGTCAGTCAGCAAGAGACGCTTGGGGAGAGAATCCGGACTGCGAGCTCGGCGGCTGCCGCAGCGGCGGAGGGCAGCCCAGAGACGCTACTCCAACTGTTGAATTGAATTTCCACCATCCATTTCCTCCTCCGCGCCCTGGCTGGCGGAGATGGATTTATTCGGTTTGAAATCTGCACGTCTTTCTCGGGCTTTGGGGTGATTCTGACAAGCACCAGACTGAGAGACCACCAGTGACAGAAATTATAATAATAATAATAATAAGGAGGAGGAATTAAAAAAAACAACCCTCCACAACAGACTGCACAATTAGCTATGCACATCGATGCTGGACTTTGTGAATAGAGACCACTGGGAGGAAAATCTTGAACTGTGATCTTGGGCTAAGCTGTGAATCATTCCTGGAAACGTGCATTTCCCCTCCCTAAGACTGAGAGATTCGGGGACATCTCACGCCTAACCAAGTGGAAAGGTTTTTTTAAAAAAAAAAAAAAAACAAATAAATATTCGTAAGCAAAGCAGACGCCTTGTTTTGCAGAGCCTCGGACTCCGGCTGAAAGAGGTAGAGTAAAAGTGCTCCTGGGTTCAGCTTTGCCTTCCTCCCCCCACTCTCTTTTTATCTCGTTTTCTGCCCCCCCTTCATGAATCCAGTTTTTTTTTTTTTTTTTGAATTTTTTTTTCCCCTATTGAGTGAGTCAGAGAAAGCGTTAGGAAGAAGCCGCAACTAATGTCTGTGAAGGGAGGACCGTGAGGGGAGAGAGAATACGATTCGTTCCGCTGCTTCTGACTCATCCGGCAGATCAGAACACCTGCATTTCTGGATGTGTCATTCCCATATACCGAGGCGCCTGGGGAAGCAGAAATAGTGTGTAGATCAAGCCGCACCTAACCTCCCCTGGGTGGTGGAGGTATTTTCCCCGGGTGGGCGCCCTGGCAGAACCCTGGTGGCTGCAGCTCCTCACCCTCTTCCCTCCCGAAGTCGACCAGAGACCGTGAAAGCCAGGCTGCAGAATGCAACGCCAACCCTTGATGTGTTCCATCCATTCTACTCCTCCTGTTTAAAACAAGAACAGTAATAACAGCAAGGGGCGGGGGAATCCTGGACTTTATTTTCTTCAAATATTCACCACTCTTGTTCCTCGCCAAGGTTTTCCTTTCTAGATGAAAAGGACTGGGAGGCTGGGCCACTGGAAGGAGATGTTGAATAGGAAGAAAAGAGCCACTTGACAGCCCAGCCCTGTGAATGCAGAGACTGTTTCCCTTCTAGCAAGAGACAGGGCGAGAGTGTGTGCTAGGACTGGGAGGGTGGCTTCCCCCTCCTTTCTGTTCTGTCCTCCCCCTCCCCCTTCAAATCTGCACCTCTAACCATGAGTTGCCTGTTGATTTCCTTTCGCCTGGCAAGAGAAGCAAACTGGAATTAAACTGCGTGGAGAGAAGTCCTTGTTTGCAGAAAGAGGATGGGATGGTAGTGGCGGCTCTCGGCTTGGCGTAGACACACCAGAGTGTTCTACGAACCGAGGCGGAGATATATCTCTATATTTTCTCCTCCCAACAGGCTCTCAGCGCAAATGCTGATCAGGCTGTGGCTTTTTTGATTTTGGGGGAGAGCCTTCTCCGAGGAAAAGAGGGAGGAGCCTGGTAAGGGGAGGAAACTACAAATCGGGACACTAGGGTTTTTTTTTTTTTTTTTTTTTTTTTTTTTGCACTGCATTTCCTCCCCTCCCTTTGACTGCTCGGAAAAGAGAGAAAGAAAAAAAAAAAAAAAGAAAGAAAGAAAGAAAAGAAAAGGAAAAAAAAAAAAAAAAAGACTTGGCTTGGAGATGCAGTCCGCTGCCACCGCCGCTGCCTAAGCCAGCAATGCAAGATTAGATCTTTAAATGCAGCAATACACAGCGTGAAAGCCGACCATCCTGCAAAACGAGCAGACATTTCTCCGTGTTCCAGGGAAGCCTCAAACATACATACGTATCTGTGACTCTTTTCTTCGTCCTTACTCATTCCCATCCATTTCATCACCGAATACGAGTAACTAAGGATTCCACTTTTCTATCTGCCTGGAGACACACCTCCCCAAGCCCTCCCCCACCCGATTCGAAGAGTATTCTGTAGGCTGCCAGAGGGAGTGGATTTTGCAGCGCCTAGCGGGAGCGAGGAAAACCCACCAATTCTTCAGCTCATTATCATCTCTCCCAGACTCTATTTCCTTCTTATCGCCAGCCTCATCACCAGGCAAGTTTGAGCCATCTGAAGTCCAGGCAGAGGAGACAAAGCCTTGGGCTCGCCCTAAGCTGCAGGAAGCCGCCGCCTTGCTCCAAGCTGCTGCAGCTTCGCTGAGCGGTTGCTTCTCACCCAGTGCGAATGCTGTAGATCAACAGGTTCGGGCAACTTGAGCGGAATTAGGAGAGACTGTCTGGTGCCGCAGCCCGGGTGCGGAGGGAAGGAAGGACTCACAGACTTGTGGCTCCCTCTGAGCTCCGACGCTCCGCCCCGGTTCCAGACTGGCGCGCACCCACCAGCTCGCACTTCCAGTCCGGCTGCTCCTGCTCCCACCCCACCGGTCTGGGATGTACCTTTCCATCTGTTGCTGCTTTCTCCTGTGGGCCCCTGCCCTGACACTCAAAAACCTCAACTACTCAGTGCCAGAGGAGCAAGGGGCAGGCACGGTAATAGGCAACATAGGCAAGGATGCCCGACTGCAACCCGGGCTTCCGCCGGCTGAGCGCGGTAGCGGCAGCGGGCGAAGCAAGTCCGGCAGCTACCGGGTGCTGGAGAACTCCGCACCGCACCTGCTGGACGTGGACGCCGACAGCGGGCTCCTCTACACCAAGCAGCGCATCGACCGTGAGTCCTTGTGCCGCCACAATACCAAGTGCCAGCTGTCACTAGAGGTGTTTGCCAACGACAAGGAAATCTGCATGATCAAGGTAGAGATACAGGATATCAATGACAACGCTCCCTCTTTCCCCTCGGACCAGATCGAAATGGACATCTCAGAGAATGCGGCACCGGGCACCCGCTTTCCCCTTACCAGCGCTCACGACCCAGACGCTGGCGAGAATGGGCTCCGTACCTATCTGCTCACCCGCGATGATCATGGGCTCTTTGCACTGGACGTCAAGTCCCGCGGCGACGGTACCAAGTTCCCTGAGCTGGTCATTCAAAAAGCATTGGACCGCGAGCTGCAGAACCACCACACTCTGGTGCTGACAGCCCTGGATGGCGGCGAGCCTCCTCGCTCCGCCACCGTGCAGATCAATGTGAAGGTGATCGATTCCAACGACAACAGTCCAGTCTTCGAGGCTCCGTCATACTTGGTAGAACTGCCCGAGAACGCACCCCTGGGCACTGTGGTCATTGATCTGAACGCCACTGATGCTGATGAGGGTCCCAATGGGGAAGTTCTCTACTCCTTCAGCAGCTATGTGCCAGACCGCGTGCGGGAGCTCTTCTCCATTGATCCCAAAACTGGCCTGATCCGCGTTAAGGGTAACTTGGACTACGAGGAGAATGGCATGTTGGAGATCGACGTGCAGGCCAGAGACCTAGGACCTAATCCAATTCCAGCCCATTGCAAGGTCACAGTCAAGCTTATCGACCGCAACGACAACGCGCCGTCCATTGGTTTCGTCTCCGTGCGCCAGGGGGCGCTGAGCGAAGCCGCCCCGCCTGGCACAGTCATCGCCCTGGTTCGGGTCACTGACCGAGACTCAGGCAAGAATGGGCAGCTGCAGTGTCGGGTACTGGGTGGAGGAGGGACTGGCGGTGGAGGTGGCTTAGGGGGACCCGGTTCCGTTCCCTTCAAGCTTGAAGAGAACTACGACAACTTTTACACGGTGGTTACTGACCGTCCACTGGACCGCGAGACACAGGACGAGTACAATGTGACAATCGTGGCCCGGGATGGGGGCTCCCCTCCACTCAACTCCACCAAGTCGTTCGCTGTCAAGATACTGGATGAGAATGACAACCCGCCTCGTTTCACCAAAGGGCTGTATGTTCTCCAAGTACATGAGAACAACATTCCAGGAGAATACCTCGGTTCAGTGCTCGCCCAAGATCCCGACCTGGGCCAAAATGGGACAGTGTCCTACTCCATTCTTCCCTCGCACATTGGCGACGTGTCTATCTACACCTATGTGTCTGTGAACCCCACTAACGGAGCCATATACGCCCTGCGCTCCTTTAACTATGAACAAACGAAGGCTTTTGAATTTAAGGTGCTAGCTAAGGACTCCGGGGCGCCAGCGCACTTAGAGAGCAACGCCACTGTGAGGGTGATGGTGTTAGACGTGAATGACAATGCTCCAGTGATTGTGCTCCCTACTCTACAGAACGACACGGCTGAGCTGCAGGTCCCGAGAAATGCTGGCCTGGGCTACCTTGTAAGCACCGTGCGCGCCCTGGACAGCGACTTTGGAGAGAGTGGACGCCTCACGTATGAGATTGTGGATGGCAACGACGACCACCTGTTTGAGATCGATCCATCCAGCGGCGAGATCCGCACCCTACATCCCTTTTGGGAGGATGTGACCCCAGTGGTGGAGCTAGTAGTGAAGGTGACTGATCATGGCAAGCCCACCCTGTCCGCGGTGGCCAAACTCATCATTCGTTCAGTGAGCGGCTCTCTGCCTGAAGGAGTACCGCGAGTGAATGGTGAGCAGCACCACTGGGACGTGTCGCTGCCTCTCATAGTGACTCTGAGCACGATTTCCATCATCCTCCTAGCGGCCATGATCACCATAGCTGTCAAGTGCAAAAGAGAAAACAAGGAGATTCGCACTTACAACTGCCGCATCGCTGAGTACAGCCACCCACAGCTAGGCGGGGGGAAGGGCAAGAAGAAGAAAATCAACAAAAACGATATCATGCTGGTGCAGAGCGAGGTGGAGGAGAGGAACGCCATGAACGTCATGAACGTGGTGAGCAGTCCCTCCCTGGCCACCTCCCCCATGTACTTCGACTACCAAACCCGCCTGCCCCTCAGCTCGCCCCGGTCAGAGGTGATGTATCTTAAGCCAGCCTCCAACAACCTGACTGTCCCGCAGGGACACGCAGGCTGCCACACCAGCTTCACCGGACAAGGGACTAATTCGAGCGAGACCCCTGCCACTCGGATGTCCATAATTCAGGTAGGAGACTTTTAGGGAAAAGGGGACTTCACTTAAAAGCTGTTGGTTAGTGCTGTCCTTTGAATAGCCTAAAGCCACATGGCCAACAGCAAAGTGTGTGGGGTCTGTAGTAGTTAGCTAAAAATGGTTCACACCTTTGCCCCAGTGTGCACACCATTCCCATTCACAACCCCTCTTGGGTAAATAGTTTTAAACACATGCTTACCTCTCTTGCAGTTTCAAAGTTTATTTTTTACAGATTTTAAAATGATAGCAACAGTCAATATTTAAACTTTATTCCATCTGTAGGACTACATTTGTCTCCCTAACATGATTTCTATAGTAGAACAAAAAAAAGGAACTCTCCTTAATGAGTTTTATTTCATTAAAACTTTTATATTGATACCAAGTTTATATGCCCAATTGAAGCTAACTTCTTGAGTACAGAATAGTAACCAAGTCAGTTCTGTAAATCAATCTGAAGTTTCCTTCCCTGAGAAATCAGATTTATATGCTGAAAATGGTTTAGGGACAGGAGCCCCATTTACTCCTTAACTAAATTTTCATCAGAAGTTTTGGACGTGTACATCATATGCTGAAGTGCTTTGTACAGGTTAGGCATAGTGATCCAAACAAATCTTTGAAAAGAATTTCTTTAGTCCTAGGGTTTCCCTGTAAGTTTCCTATGGTGGCTAGGGAATGAACAGTCTACTCCAAAGAGTCTTAAGGTCATTTTATGCTACTGATGACAGGGGATGAAGTTGCAATAAAACCCACATTAGTTTTTTTTTTTTTTGGACCATATTTTCAGGATATTTACATGTATTGTTAACATAAAATGAAAATAAAATCATTGCCAAAAGCATAGGTACTGACTCTAAAAAAAAAAAAAAAAAATGACAGTGCTGTGATGACCTAGTCAGCGTCTGGTTTCCTTTATTCACTACTGAGTTGTATCACAAAAATTAATTCTTGATTATCATAATATTCACAAGCATATGATGTTACAAATGACCCCAAACTATAAATGCTTCAAATTTGCAATTCAGTATAACCAAAAGTAACAACTGAGGCAGAAGTAAAAGTCACCTGTCTATATTATTATGAGTTGAAAAGCTTGACACAGCAAATTTGTTATTGTCCAAATAGTGTTGAAGCTTCATCACCCTGTTAATAGAAACCATTCATGTCCTAATACTTAACAGAAGGTATTGCTTATGGCAGCATAGTGAACCATACTCATCAAGTATGATGTTATTGACTTTTGAAGTATCAAATCCCACCTTTGTAATATCCACTGTATATGAGTAATCATGTAATCATAGATTTAAAGTTTATATATAAAACATGAAAGATATTCTCAACTGTAAAAACTTGGCTTCTATGAATGTCTTCCCCTAATTGTGAAATTTACATTAATGATCACTAATATCTCTTTAGAGGGAATTATGATAAAATGTTTATAGATATGCTATAGTCATTTTGGAATTCCAAATATTGGTATACCTTTCCTATATTTATGCCACTGGCAAGGTTGGCACAAAGGGCTAATACTTAATCATCTATCTTCAAAGAGTTGTGAGTTGAATTCTCATCTAGCTTCCAGCATTAAAAAAAAACCATAAAATGAAGTTGGTACAGTAAAATTCTCAGCAAGTCTAGGTTAATAGTCAGACTAGTGAAGAGCACTCTTGAAGAAAAATATCCAAAGCTTTGGAGGGACGTGGTACTTATACATGTAAACAACATTGCCCTTGAAGCTGGTCATTGGTTATGGATGATAGTGGTGGCTCCTCCCTAACAGAAAACTCAGATCAGGACAAGAAAAGCACAAATACTACCAAACCCCTCAAACAACTTAAGCATAAAATAAAAGCCTGTCTTGGTAATTTTTTTGATTTCTAAAATTTGAATCTATTCTACCAAAGTACAAAATGGATTTAGTTTTGAGTTTGATTTTTTCCCCAAAGTGTTTCATTTTCCTATGTTATATCTGTCGTAAAAATATCTCCACCTAAACTGTTAACAGTTTTTCCCATCATGTTTTTGCAATCCTTTAAAGGATGGGTTATAAAATCCTGATAGATTAATCACATTGGAAATGTACCATATTGATATTTATTATTGAAAACCATAATAAATTAGCCAGGTGCTATCCCCCACCCATTTCTTTCCATCACCAATTGTGTTACAAACACATTACATTCAAGTGTAATGCTGAAAGTTTGTAGGAATGCCATAATCTTGTATCAAGCTCATTTTTTAGCATATGCATAATTTACCCTGAAAAGTAAATATGATACTAATTTCACATCTCTTTCTAAAGGCAGACTCTTATTCCACCAAATCAAGTTGGATCAACAGCTAGTATCTCTGTTTCATCTTTATGATCTTTTCCAGTATCCTGCATGGTGTTTTGAAAGTGCATAGAATCCATTTATAAATGGGTTAAACAAACTGTCATAAGTGTGTTGCAATACCCTTGTACAATAAGATGATATGAAATACAGGGCTTTGGGACTGTAAACTTCACATTACAGCTAAAGTAAAAACTGGTTTCAGCCTGAAAGCATTTTGATTGCCAGATCTAAGGTTCCTGCTTGCAGTTTTTGTTTCATCATAGGTGTATGTACATTTATTAACAAAGATTTGTGGGAAAAAAAGATTTTATTTTTGTTAAATGTTGTGAATTTGTACAAACAAAATCAGATTATAAAGTGTTCAAATATAGATAAGTAACTAAAATATTCGTAACAGCACAAGAATCATAGTATTACATTAAAGTTACAATGTACAAGTATTTATTTTAAGGTGCAGAAGTTGTATTGAATTGAAACACAGATTTTTAGTAGGTAAGGTAGACTATGGTATAAATGTAACATCATTTTTCCATTGCAGATATTTCCATGTATATTATTTTATGTTGTGATGTGAAATATAACATTAGCATAGAAGTCTTCACCAATTATTAGAATAACTGTTAATCCTGGCTTACTAAGGACAAGCCCACACTTGTAAGATCAGCCTCAGTGAGGGGAAGGCAGGTGATCAGTCAGTCAGAAGTTGGAAGTCATCCTTGGTTACACAGAGAGTTTGAAGCCCACTTGAGATACATAAACCCCTGCCTCCAGAAAGCAAAACAAAAATAGTAAGTTAAGTCTGGGAGATGATTCTCAACAGCTGTTTTCAGTGATGTCCTCACTGAGAAGAAAGGAGAATTCATGGACTCCTAATTTTAGGATTTCTTTGTTTTTGTCTTGTTTCATTTTGTTTTAAATATCTGTGTTCTCCCGCAGTACCTACTGCAGTCAGTTTTAATATATTCTCATAGAAGAAAGAGCATTAACCCAGCAAAAACATTTCCTAAAACAAAATTTTAAAAACATATAGTTTTACAGATCAACTAAAAAAATAAGAACCATGAGCATTCACTATAGAGTCCTCATGAAAAAAAAAAAAAACAATAAAACTCTTTTGAAATCTGTACATGGGGCTTACAACACAATTATGGCAAATATAAATTAAATATGATATTTTGAATATATACAGAGTAAATAAGGATGTGGAGAGTGCCTAGATCAAGCCCTAATAAGTAAAATAGAGATTGAATTGCAAAGGAATAAGCTACCAAATATAAAGACTTAACACTATTTTGGAAAAGATAAAAGTTAAAATGTCTTTAATAATATCATCCACTGTCTGTATTCAATCCCACTTTTCTAACCCAGGAGATTCTTGAGTTCATAGGAGTTCCCTAGGCCACACATGATCTTCCGTAGTTTGTATTAAATTAATGATTCCAGCAACAGATGCACAGCATAAGTATGTTTATGTGTCACTCCAAATTTTGAAGGTATTTTGCTACAATTTTTATGCTACAAAGCTACCATTTGCTTAATCTCTCCCACTCATCACTCTTCATAAGGTATATAATCCTTACTTATGAGGATTATGTTGGCTCAAGCAGGAAAGGGAAGCCACTGTCATACTGCATGCCTCCTGGTATATTTTGCACTTTTCCTTTTCCGCTTCAAAGACTGCTCAAAACATTGGAGTATTAATTTCCATGTTAGTTTAATAAGTATACAGTGTCAAACATTTTTATTAAGCTTTGGAAATACATGAAATATTAAGCAATCTACAATTTAACCAAACATTAGGTGTTTGAAATTTCTTATAGGAGAGTTTAAACTTTTTGAAAAGTTCTAAACTTATTGCTAGTGTTCCTATTAAAAACTCAGAAATATTCTTAGCTGTATGTATTTCTGTGGATATTTGACCTCCAGTGCATATCTGCCATGTATTTCTATAAAACTAGAAGCCACAGAAGTTTATTTTTAATATCGGGTTTCATAAATGTTCTTCATGAATTCAGATTATTTCCTACTGACCTCCATATTTTAACAATTTTTCCAAATGACAGGCAGGTGATTCTTGACCATCATCACATTGAGATGAGCATTCGTTAGGTTTTGATTTATTGTGGAGCCAATCCAATTTTTTAAAGTTTATATCACTTGTGTGGGTGAGTTAGGTTATTTCAATCCATAGTAGTGTGTTTGAAATTGTATTCTTAGCACCCTTTCTTCTATAACATTGATGTGATCAGAGAAAAAAAAATTTCCTCAAATTCTTACCTCAACTTTTAAGATTTATTTAGAAAATAGTTAAGTTCCTTAAAACAGAAAATATCCACTGATTACATTGTTTAGTCCTGTTTAAGTGATTACATTGTTTAGTCATTGTTTAAGTGACTGTTACAACAGCTGAGGTTTATTACTCACGTTTTTTTTAAAATGCCTAGAAAATAGCTTTATATGTCAACTTAACCCAAATTAACCCAAAAATATCATCTAAGTTAAAGAATTATACATATTTTAATGGGAAAACCCTTCAAGTGTGTGTGTGTGTGTGTGTGTGTGTGTGTGTGAATGTTTGGTGTTGTTTTTAAGTGCAGTTTCTTACAGTATCATGGGACAGCACTATTTTCAGGTCTAAGATGTGAAATTTCTCATTGTGAG